AGATTCTTTATCAGCGCCTATATTTTTAAATGATCTTTCTTTCTTGATATATCCTTTTGTTTATATCAACCAGATAGAGTATGTTATATTTGGTTCTCACTACAATGCTACTCATATTTAAGAGATGATAGAAATTTATTCTACTTTTGAAATGGTATAAAGCTGATCTATTCTTATCAAAAACAATGAGCACTTAGGTAAAAATTTGATTCATGGATCCAACTGCCTGACAAGACGATTGATAGAAAACTGTTTAGGAAGACATTTTAAAAACCTAGTCAAAATTAGGCAAAATTAGTCAAAAGCAAAATAAGTCAAAATTAAAAGTAATTTATAAATAATTTTTATTATGGAAATTTAACATTGACCATTTACCCTCTCTGCCTTTTTGAGTGAGACTGGTCTACACTTTTCCTTTAGATACTATGGCAGGGGGTGGGGTGAATTTGCACATTAAGAATTTCTGTCATTGCTAAAGCTGCCACTTCTCAGCTCCGTGGGTTGCTAAAGCAGAAGTGTGGCTGGGGATGGGCACATAGCAGCAGTTCCTGTTGTGAGGAATCTTGGAGGAGTGGAGAGGACCGGTATACAATGCCATCGCCACTGGGCCTATTGGGGTTCTGCGATGACTTAGGGGACCTGACATAGATTGCAGGCTGCACCTTTCACTGAAAATTAAATCTCAGTAGCTCTCCTCGGGGAAGGATCAGGGGACTCTTTGCAGCTGCCCCTTGTCAGCAAAGGCTACAAGATTTGGAAATCTCTTAACTAAGCTGACAGGCCACAGAGAGGATGAATCAAAAATATGATACATGGATCAGCACACAAAGATGTGAGAGGGTAGAGGGTACACAGTAGCCAGATAAAACAGGAAAGAAAAATAGTAAGTGTGGGGAGATATTTAACTCTTTCACTCATGACGGTAAGATATTTTATCATCTTATCTTAAAGCTTTGTAGTTATCCAAGAATGTCATTCAACTTTTACAAGGTTTTTTTTTTTCTTTTTCTTTTAATTAATTAGTTGTTAAGACTAGGCATGCCTCAAAACAAAACAAAACAAAAACAGAAACAGAAATCTACGCTTAAGTGTTTCTGGCCATATCCTTCTTGTACATTTCTATTTTTTTTTCTACAAAGTATAAAAATAAGTAACTTTGACATAGAGTACATTTCATTGCATGAGGAAGGAAGGGTTACCATTTTCTTTTCTTTTGTTCTGAACAGTTGACAATACCCATTACTGTCATGCTAAAATCCTCTCATCCAGTTATGATCCTGTTTGTTTTTGGAAAGGTAGACAGAATTGCAATGATGACAATCTGCGTCTCTTTTCCCTCCATCTCTCCACTTCCGCTAGGCTCCTGTTAGATCCCATTATTTGAAATATTTAAAATGTTGGCATTTCTCTAGCTCCCAATCTCTGCTTCTATTAACCAGTTTAGCCTAAAATTGATGATAATGAACTAATAGTGTCAGCTTCCCTTCTCAGTCATAAAGCCTTTGTACTTCCTCCAACTGAATTCTTGATGAAAGAGGAAAAGATAACAGCTCCACACTGTGACCCCTGGAGGTGACCATTAATTTGACAGTGCAGCTGCTAAGAGGAAACAGCATTACAATGTCCTCTCCCCCCAGCCCCTTCCAAGGACCCCAAAGCTGTGTCAAATTTATCATTTTATACTTGACTATTTTTAAATGGCTTTCACCTGGACTCTCAGACTCTTCCAAGACACATCTGTCAGGCATGTCCTCAGCATCTTGGAAGTTTGCCGAGTTTGAGTTGCTGTCATGGTTGACCGGACTGACTGGAGCTATTAAAAAAAAGAGACAGAGAGAGAGAGAGAGAGAGAGAGAGAAAAGAAAGGGAGAGCGATGAAAAGTAGTAGCAAGCACCATTAAAACACTTCCTTTTAGTTGCACAGATATTTCCAGGGACACACTATGTAAACACAAATAATAAATTGAAATAAAATGTATCCTCTAAGTATTTATTGGCAGACATGTAATTAGTTGAAAAATCTATAGATGTGACTTTATCTTAGAAGAAAAATAAGTTCATGGCATCAAGCTTAAAAGCTACAAAGTAACAAAGTGATCTCTTCGAAGTAGAAATCGTATTTTTAATGCATAAATCTAAAACAATATAGTCAATTAACGGCAACAGGACACAGAGGGAACATCAGGCTAGTCAATTAGAAAGACCAGCTCTATACTGGTGGCAATGGTTCCTTTTGTCCCACAAATCACAGCTAATGGACACTATGTACGCATCTTCGTTCTTTCATTAAATTAAAAACTATGGTACCAAACACCAAAAAATTAGTCCTATAAAAAGTAAATTTAAAAATATCAAATAAATACACTGAAAATGATAATAAGAAGGGCTGGTGTTTTGAATGGAAGGTCTCTAGACAACTTATCATGAGATATTATTTCGGAAACTGAAGCTAGCAGAAAAGTCTAAAATTTCCCATAAACACATTATATCCACTAATTCTGTTAGAGAAACAGAATCAAGTTTCCACATTCTTCTACAAGTTATAATACTTGGTCTAAATTATCTCCATAAGTAACATATTTCCATATTACATTTGTTCTAGGAATCATTTGTCAGAAAAAGTGGGCCCTGTCTTCATGAAAAAACTCAGTGAAAAAACAAATAAGACTTCAATAACATAAATTATATCACTCTTAAGCCAAATGCCATATATATATATATATATATATATATATATATATATATATATACACGTACACACACAATTGAATGCAATGGAATTTTATCTATCATAAGTTGCTGCAGTAAACACTACCATGTGTCTTCAGATCTTGATAACACACACAACATATTTATAGGTCATAAATGCAATAAACAAAATATATATTTATAAATTATACATGAGATATGTTTGTTGGCACAGGGGAGTTGGCCTGGCTATTGTGTCTACACCTCCATTAGGAGAACAGAGAGCAATGCAGAGGCTGGAGACTGTGTCATCTCACACATTTGATAAGTAACCCAAAGGTGTCCCACCCCAGATCCAAACAGCATTAGTAGTGTTCACACCTACCTGCCATGCTCCTCCACTTATTTTAATGGAACGTGCATAGCATTGGTGATAATAACTTGAGGACCACATAGACACACTTTAAAGGAGACTAGGAGTATAATTCTGGTTCAAATATTCCCTCCAGACAGTTTCACTAACCCTATCAGGACATAGCTAGAACTTCTTTGTTTTGTGGAAGTATGAGCATAGTTAGAATTCACTACTTCTCCAAAACCTTTTGTTTGGGAACAAAATATGGAAAAAGTATAAAATTCTTATTTTAAATAAGCACAATTTTTCATTTTGTGCATTTGAATTTTCTGGAAAAAATATAGAAGTAGGGACCATGTCTAGTTCATTCACACATTTCTGTGTGCCACATATATAATAGTGTCTAGGCCATAGAAAGTATTCTTAACGGATCTGTGAATGAATGAACGAATGAACGAAGCAAAGGTACCATGCTAGATGTCCTCCTGATCCAAGAAGATATGTGCTTTCAATTATCATCCCAATAGATCTGCTCAGTTTCTTGTTTAGGCCCACTTAAGTCCAAGGATGCATGTTTGCAACGTGGTGATGTGGGTCAGTGTGACTTGGAAGGAGAGGATGTATGGCTTAAGTGGTTATTGATGTAGCTATGTTTAATTTAATTTTCTTCAGTTTAAGTCATACTTACAGATTATTTTTGAATCCATAGATTTTTATGAAATGTTTAAGTGGGATAGTTAAATGCATCAACGTTTCAGAATACTATTATATTGGCTTGTTTTAATGATTTTTATCTCTATATATCTTAATTGCTAATTTCTGAAATATTTACATTGGTATTTATAATAGGGAATAAATCATATAGCTAAATCTATTACTAAAAGCCAATGAGGTAGCACCTCTATTGATTTGGGCAAATGTATTGCACTTGTCTTCCAATACATTGTTCTTTCATAATTTAAAACTTTCCTCCATTCATTCATTTATTCATTCCTCCAACAAATATTTATCAATCACCAAATATTTAGACAATGTTTTTCTATTAAGGACCTCAAAGAGGAAGAGGACATGGTATTTGATCAAAAAAAATACATGGCTGAAAACATTTTTAGTGTCATGAAGTGGTCCCAGGATGAAATGACATCCCAAATCTCTCAAGAAAGCAAGAAAGTTAGGTGTAGTTTTAGTTGCATGATCTTCATTAAACTCCTACTAGTAGGTACTATGCAACCATTTTGCTTCCAAATCTGATTTTGGAGAGTGTGGCTTGTGTGGTGGTAAGGGAGTAGAGAAAGTTATTCTTCAGATATTTTGCTTAGTTACAAATTAGTTTCCAAATTTGAAATTGTACAAGATTCGTTTTCTTTACCAGGTAGTTCCTACAGCATCCAATTAAACCTACTGTAGAAGAAATACGTACATTCTGCCAGTTGGGAACAGCAGACATCGGAGAGGTTAATTATTGCCATTCTACTTTTTGTTTGTTTGTTTGATAGGCTAATCCTTGCAATTGCTCTTTTGGGTGTTTCCTGTGATGTTTCATCATTAAACTCTGACATGATAAGTGACCAAGTCTTCTCTAATGAATCATTTCAACAAGGATGAAATCAACCAATATTGATCTAGTGCTTATTATGGGTAGAGCTCCATGCTAGACTGTGAGGGGTAAAGAAATGAAGGCACTTTTAATGTGCCCTCATACAACTTGTGATCTAGTTGAAGTATGATAAAAAGTAACTAGCAGGAGCATTAGAGACAGCATTCTAAGAGCGGCATGGTTTCTAGTGCAGAGAATTCTACAATAGGGTAGTCTGGAGGTAAAATTTAAATTAGAACTCCTTGACTGGGAATGTGGGAATTCCAAAGGGACATAATTCAAAGCAAAGGAAAAAGTTCTAAAACTGGGCATGGCCAAAGAAATACATTAGCCCAGTGCCACAAATGTATTTGTTATTGTTGCTGCCTATTTTGGTATATATTTTTAATGAATTCTCCTTACATGTCTCTGAACTTTTTCTGAATTGCTGTTGTTAGCTAATTCTTCTCACCTGTAGAAGTTAGCTATAGACAGGTTTTTCCTTGCCCTAGATAGTCAATAATTTGATCTTTACTGATGGTGGGCCCATTTATCACAGTAAGTTGTCCTTTCACTATACATATTGACTTTTATTTATCAATACCAAAGTCCATTTGTAGCTCATCACTAAAGTTCTTGGATATTTTCAGTAGTTTTTGAAGGTGCATTTTAGAGTTTGGCAGAGAGATACTTTTGACATCAATATAGTGCAAATGATTGCTAGGCTCATCTTTAGCTGAAAATCAGCTGTTTATTTCCTCTGTAATGGATTCTGAAATAGTCCACATTTGGGTGGTAAGGGACAAGAAAGACAAACTCTCCTTGACAGTTCTACCACTGAAAGATATAAGACTGCTCTACTCACCCATCACACACCTTGAAATATCGACAGCTAAAAGGCCAGTGTTCTAAATATCTGTGTAATATCTTTGGTAGCTGGGTAGAGGGAGGAGTCCATGTATTTCTTGCAGATGTGTTTTGACTAGGGGGCATTCGACTATGAGTATAATTCTTCTAGATCCTAAAGAAACAAATGGTTCAGCCAAAGACAACACAAAATCAGTACCTTTTAAACCATGTTCAAGAACACCTTGAGAGGAAACCCAAAAGATTGTATGAGGAAGACTCCATAGAAGAATTTATTGTTAAAAATTAAAAATGTGGTGGCAGGGTCGTCAGTGGTAATGCTCCTCCACCTCCTCTGTTCTCTATTTTGGTTTCAGTTATCCTCTAAAAATTCCCTGCTTCCTTTTCTCATCATTTTCTGAAAGATATTAGCTGTTAAGATTTCCTAGGCCTAGGCAGCAAACAACTCCAAGAAACATCTCCCCATCCCCAGCAAGAGAAGGGCCACTGGAAAAAAGTCTCCACCCACTTCCACAAACAGCAGCTGGTTCTCCCAAGCTAGGCCACTTCTGTCATACAAATAGAGTCCTTGTTAAAAATCCATATCATTTACAGGGTGAATAAAATCTACAGCTCCAAATAACATTTTCAATACAATGACTTATGAATGATTTAAAAATAGATCCCATTCATCATACGTACAGGCTTTTTGAAAGTAATGGGGATATTTATAGGAAAATCATTAATAAAAAGATATAACAGTTTGAAATGTTGGGCAACTGAATAGAATAAACCACTGTAATACCCGAGAAAACCCAAACAAAAATCTGAATCACGTATTAATCAAGGGCATGAAAATAATGTACAGGTTGCAGAGGTCAGGAAAGACTAAATGACAGCTCAAATCTGTGGCATAAGGAGTGGAAAAGAAGTCATAGATCTAAGTTCAAATCTACTAACTCAATATGGTAGCCAAGAGTTGATTACTTCCCTGCTTGATAATTTGGATTCCTTCCCAATCTTAAGGAGTCACTATGAAATAAACTTAAAAAAAAAAAAAAAAGAAAGAAAGAAAGAAAGAAACAATACTATTAATAAAGAAAAACTACACCAAATTTAGGAAAAAGAAAATGCTAATGCAATGCAATACTAGCAGATCACAGAGACTGCAATATATTTTAAATTAGGGGGAGGCACAATTCATGAAAAGACTTTAAATGATAACACGAAATTTGTAAACAAAGAGGATGTCATTGGAACAGACCTTCAGCTTACAAAGTGGCTTCTCTCTGGACAGATGTCTTATCAGGAAAACATGTCTAGCTAAAGAGCTGTGTACATATTAGCC